ATGCAGGAGGAGGAGCAGGAGGATCTTCCGGGGAGGAGCGCCGGGGAGGAGCGGGCTGCCCGGAGGGGGTCAATATATACGGTCGGGGCGATGAAGAATCGGGGGCGGAAAAGAGGGGGGTGATGACTAGGGGGGGGTGGATTTCATGGCGCGGGCCATGATTTTTCCCCAGATCTCATGGCGCCTCTTCTCATTTCCTTACGTCCCAGGCCCCCCCGCTGGGCCGCGCACATGCCGCCGGTCATGATTTGCACCCCCCCCCTCTTGTACACCCCCGTTTTGGCCGCTCCCGAAAGAAGGAACCCTTTTCATTGGGGAGGGGCTCGGTGTTCCTCGATTGTTTCATACTCTGCCTGGAGTTGTCCTAAGGTTTTCCATGTGAAATTAAAGTTTCACTTATGAAGGAAAAAACTGGGGCCTCGTTCCTTATGTAGGGTTCCTTGGGTCAGCGCCCCGACTGTACACACCATTCTGTCGGCGACTACAAAGGGTATGGTTACGCCGGGGTGTGGTTTGCGATCGGCGCACCGTCGGGGCCTGTTGGGCAAAACACTGTCCTCGTCGGGGCTCCTCGGGGCGCGGCGGAGAGCTCTGTCGAGATCCGCCCGCCCCCCAGGGTACCCCTCAGGGAGCCGGTTGCAAACCACACTTTCGGAGTCGCCGATTCTGGTTGACCCCAAAGGGGGTCCAGCTACAAGGGGGTGGTGCAATAGATTTGGTGCACTAGATTCGTGGGTTGCAACAGATTTGGGGCGTGCGCTACATTCCAGGGCGCAAATGTATTGCTGGATTCTCGCGGGCAATACATGATTCGCAATACAATGCAACACAATGCAATTCTCCAGCGCAATACATTTGCAATACACTTGCCCCCCATCTATTGCACCACCCCCTTTCACCTGGACCCCCTTTGGGGAGCCAAGGAGCCTGGCGAGTGAATCACTGGATGGCACGCGGGGGCGTCTGTACACCGAGCTCCGTGGCCGACCAGACCACTTGGTGTATACGCCGAGCCCCGCCACGTGGAGGGGGGGGGGGAGGAGGAGCCGTGCCCTGTTGGGCCCAGGGCTGCCCCCGACAGCTATCCGCCTGGCGGACGCGGCGAGGTGGTGATCACGTCTTTTTGCATGACCTCAGCGCTCCTCCTCCTCCTCTTCCTCCTCCTCCTCCTCCTCCTCCTCCTCCTCCTCCTCCTCCTCCTCCTCGCAGAGCCACAGACCTGTCTGCCTTGTGGCGGCGAGGGGGGCGGAGGGTGGGTGCACGTCGAGAAGCCTGTGGCGTAGTACGGTCGGGGACTCTGGGAAAGCGTGTCGCTCCGCCGGTTCTGGCCCACCACGCCTCGGCACAGTACGCGAGCCACTTCCCAGTCGTCCCGGGCTTTTTCTGGGCCTTCCGCCCCGCGGAGCGGAGCGACACGCACGTGTCGCCATGGCCGTCGCCACGACACGTTAAGCAAAAGTTCCTGACCGTTGCATGCTACAAAGGTACTCCCCCCCTCTCTCCAGCAGAACATTCCCAAACCCTGAGCACCTACAAAACAAAATCTCAGTCATCACTATTCATCCTCCTCCGCCCGCCTCTCTCCTCCACCCTCCTACTTCTAGACGCTTCGCGTAACCCCGCCAGCCCATCCAGAAACGATGGCCGACGAGTTGCCCTGATCAGGGATGTGGAGGAGCGTGCAGTGGAATAAAGGGCTGGGTAAGACGTCATACCCCAAGAGGGGGAGGATGGCGGAGGAATTGAAGAAGCGGGAGGACGAGGAGGAGGAGGAGGAGGAGTAAGGAGAGGGGAGGATGAGGGGGGCGCAGGAAGCCGAGCAGATAGGCCAGATGCCTCATGATGCCTCTCGGAGTCTCTTCGGATGTCTTTCTTCTTGGAGTCCTCTTGTGGCGTCTTGGAGATTTCTTGGCATTCCTGGGGGCCTCTTGGGGCGTCTTTGATGCATCTGGGGAAATATTGGGGCTTCTCGGAGGTCTCTTGGGAGCCTCTTGGATGCATCTTTGGGGCCTCGCCTCTTAGGGCCTCCTGGGCACCTCTTGGGACCGTCTTGGGGCACCCTTGGGAGTCTCGGGGGTTGTCTTGTGGCCATCTTGGAGGAGATCGATCAAAGGATGGGCCGTACTAGATTAGAGTCCCCCCTCCATGAGGCCAACATGTGGTCGAAACCTTAATGTGTGTCAATCATGTTTGCCTTCTCGCCGAGGCCTCTTGGGGCGTCTTGGGTGCATCTGGGGGGGGCCTCTTGGAGCCTATTGGGAGTCTTCTTGGAGCATCTTGGGGGGCATCTTTGGGGCCTCCTGGGCACCTGTTGGGGCCGTCTTGGGGCACCCTTGGGAGCCTCAGTGGCTATCTCAGGGCCATCTTGGAGGAGATCGATCAAAGGAGGGGGGCTCCTTAACTGGGGTCCGCCTAAAACCTACCTAAACTTCATAGAGTCGGCCTTCTCGCCGAGGCCTCTTTGCGCGTCTTGGGTGCCTCTGGGGGGCCTCTTGGGGCCTCTTGGGGGTCTCTTAGGGATCCTCTTGGAGGCATATTTGGAGCTTCGCCTCTTAGGGCCTCCTGGGCGCCTCTTGGGACCGTCTTAGGACATCGTTGTGAGCCTCGGGGGCCATCTTGGGGGCCATCTTTGAGGAGATGGATCAAAGGACGGACCGTACTACAGTAGGGTCCCCTTTCCATGAGGCCAACATGTATCCAAAGCCGTAGTCAAATCAATATTGTTTGCCTTGTCGTCGAGGTCATCTTGGACGCTCCAATGACCCGCGAAGCCTCCCCTCCAAGTCCAGGGGGATGGGTTATTGGGAGGGGCAAACCCCTCCCTGGAGGGGAAAAAGGGGGGTTGGATGCGGAAACGCTCTAATCTACTCACGCTTGGAAGGGCTGATGGGACTCCCTTCTCGTCATCCTCCTCCTCTCCCTCATCCATCCGTTTTCCTTCTAAGTAAATCCTGCCCTGTCGGACATGTGCCTGAACATGTTGCAACAGCTTCTAGGATGGCAGCGTGGTCGTTTTCAAAATGTGGCTCTCGCCACAGCGCCGCGCACATTCGTCTCAAACCTGTGCGGCAGTTCCAGGGAGTCAGGGGGGGCTTTCGAAACTCAGGCCCTGGCCTCAGCGCCGCGCGCATGCATGCATATTCGAAGTTTGCAGCAGTTTGAGGCGTGTCGAGCGGCTCCAGTGCAACCTGTGTCCCTCGTCCCAACGGCGCGCGCACTCGTCTCAAACAAGTGTGGCAGCGTCAGTGAGGGCGAGGCCTCCGGTGGTTTCTGGAGGCCCACTACAGTTAGTCGAAGATGAACGAGACGCATAAACATAAACTGTCGGAGCGCCGCGCGGCGCGCGTCGCTGAACCCCCCCTCCCTTCTGGGGGGGCCAGCGCCGCTCCAAGAAGTCCGCGCGGATCTCCGAAAGTTGATGTTTATGTTATTACGTGATCCTCCTTCTCCTCCTCCTCCTCCTCCTCCTCCTCCTCCTCCTCCTCCTCATCCACAATACACCTGACTTTGTTCGGAGAGTTTCTCGCTCTTTTTGCGTATTGTTTTTTTTTTACACAGGATCTCATCGAGAACGCCGGCGGCGCATCACCGGCCGTTCCCTGGGAGTTTGACGCAGCGTCTCGGAAACCTCATGGAGGCAGTTTTGAAGCCTCTTCGGCTCCTCTTAGGAGCCGTTATGGGGCCTCTTGGGGCTTTTTTGGGGTTTCTTTTGGGCTTATTGGGGGCGTCTTGGGGCCCATCGAATGGTTCTTTGGAGCCTGCTGGCGGGGTCGGAGGTATCTTTGTGGCGGCAAGCTCGAAGTATCCTTTCGATTTCCGCCTCTTGGGGCTCTCTTGCGGCACTCTTGGGCCGTATTGGGCTTCTTTTGAGTCGTGTATTTAGGCTCTCTGCGAGGCTTTGGGGGCCCTCTTGGGGTGACCGCGGGGGCCTCTAGGGCCGTCGTGGACGCTCTGAGGGCCACGAGTCTGATATGCTAAAATTTTACATTTCCTCAAGGGAACGGGGCGATTTGTGCTTGTTGGTGCTCTCTTCGTAGGGCTCTTGACGCCCTCTGAGGGTCTCCTGGGGGCCTCTTGGGGGGGTTCCTGGAAGCTTCTTGAGGCCTCCTGGGGGCCTCTTGGGGCCTCCTGGCGGTCCTTGGAGCGAAAGGCTCGAGCTTTCCGTTCGTGGCCCCCCTCTGGGCCCCCTCTTGGGCTCTTCTTGGGGCCTTCTTGGGCCGTCTTGGGCGCCTCTCGGGCCGTCTTGGGGCTCTCTTGGGCTGTCTTGGGGCCTTGTTGGAGGCTTCTTGGGCTCTGATGGGGCGGTCTTGGATGCCGGCTTGGAGCGTCGGGAAGCCTAAAAAGTGAAGTTGTGAAAAACGTACGTTTTACGAAGGGAATGGGGCAATTTTTGCGTCTGGGTACCTTCTTGGGGCGCATTTTGGAGGCCTGTTGGGGCATCGCAGGGGCGTCTGGGGACGTCTGGAAGCCATCTAGAGCGGCTGAGAACGATCTGGAGCCGTCTGGATGCTCTCCAGGGCCGCCGTGGGGCTCTCTTGGGCCGTCTTGGGGCGCTCGCGGGTCGCTCCCGGGCGTTTGTAGGGGCGTCTTGGGGTTCTGAAGTCGTTCGACTTGGGGGGTCTGTGAGGGACCGCCGACAAGAGGTTGAGCCCCTGGGAGGAAATTCGGGAGGTTTTGACCAGATTCTGGCGAATCCTGCCAGGCACGCTGACAGAGTGGTCTCGCACGGCCCACACTGCAGGGCGGGAGCGGCCGGATTTTTTACACAGGATCTCATTATCCGTGAGGGCTTTGCCCTCTGCCCCCAGCCCCCTCTCTCGGATAATGGATCATGGAGGAGCTACGCCGTGAGGTCTTGAAGCAGTGTCGGAACCTCATGCGAGGATGATAAGTAATCGGCAAGAGAGGTGCATTTTCAGATGATATTGTTGAATTCGGTGTTGCATTTTGGACATGCCCTGGGATGCTGTGCACTGGAGGCCCTCTTGGAAAGACTTGGGACTGCTTGAGGCTAGAGTGGGCAAAGTCGCACGGCTGGGGCGGTCTTCGGGCTCCTCGGCGTCTGCTGTAAGGGACGGAGGCCTCGGGGGGCGCGAGCGCGCCGTAGTTTGCAAGGAATCCTAGCCTCGGTGGCGCGAGTCTCGTGGAAGTTACAACGGCGTGTGGCCTCGGGGACGCGAACACGGTGTAAGTTTACAACGGTTCATGGCCTCAGGGACGCGAATGTTGTGTGATTTTCGAGGGTTACAAGTTTCGGGGACGCGAGCAATGTGTAATTTTCGAAGGCTCATGGCCTCGGGGACGCAAGTATCGCATAAGTTATAAAGGCTTCTGTTTCCGGGGCCGCGGTTACTGCGGAAGTTACTACGGTTTGTGGCCTCGGGGACGCGAATGTAGTATAATTTTCAGGCGGTAATGTCTTTGAGACGCGATTTTATGACCTCGGGGACGCAACTATTGCGTAAGTTACAAAGGATCGTGGCCACGGGGGCACGGATGTGGAGTAATGTCGAGGGATCGTGGCCTCGGAGGCGCGAATCCAATGCATGTTTGCGTGACCCAGGGCCCCCCCATAAATTCTGAGAACCCTCCTGGGTCAGGGTAACCAGGATGGTTTTCGGCTCCCCCCCCCTCGCGCGGACAGTAATAATTTACAGTAGGGAGCAGGGAGCAGCAACCTATCCCCACAGCCTGGTGGCCCCACAAGGGGGCCGGCGGATTTGAGTTTCCCCATGTGCTTTTACGATCCGGTCGTTTCCAGTTCTTCCAAAATGGTGTTCCCGCTGCAGCGCCGCCCTCATTTCTGCGCTTCGGTCATTCCATCTCGTGCTCCCGCTGCAGCGCTGGCCTCGTTTCCGCGCCCCCGCCTCCCGTTTGCCTCTTTCAGCTTTGCATTACAGTACCCCTACCGGACGGCACTTGGCATTCGAGAGCGCCCACATCGAGCAGGCACGGTTGCGGGGGACATGGAGACCGCATTCTGGACAGGTTTTGTCCTCTCGTAGACGGGCCACTTACCCTCCAAGGCATCCGGTGCCATGCCACGGCATGCAATGCGATCTTGTGTTGTGTACCGTTGTGCGATGCCATGTGTTGCATTGCTATGCTTTGCGCTGCAATGCTTCACTACGTACTGCCACGCCATGCTATGACATGCTATGATCTGCCGTGCTCTTCTACGCCGTGCTTCCCATCCATCGCGTACCCTCTTGGGATCATTGCTCTGCTCGACATCCGACTGTGCGGATAGATAGGAGGTCCACGCCATGGTAAGGGATGGGAGGTAGGGGTAGGACGTCAGATGTGACGCTAGCGCACCTAGCTTGTCCTCCTCCTCCTCCTCCTCCTCCTCCTCCTCGTCCTCCTCCTCCTCCTCTTCCTCCTCCTCCTCCACTCCTTCTCCTCGTCCTCCTCCTCCTCGTCCTCCTCCTCGTCCTCCTCCATTCCTTCTCCTCGTCCTCCTCCTCCTCGTCCTCGTCGTCCTCCTCCTCCTCCACTCCTTCTCCTCGTCCTCCTCCTCCTCCTCCTCCTCGTCCTCCTCCTCCTCCTCTCCCTCCTCCTCCTCCTCCTCCTCCTCCTCCTCCTCCTCCTCCTCCTCCTCCTCCTCCTCCTCCTCACTGCCCCCGCCGCGCCTCGCTCCCGCACCTCGCCGCCCCCATGCCGCCCCGCCGCACCCTGCGCGGCAGGTGGCGCTGTGGCTGCTCCGGCGCTTCCCTCCAGGACGCCCCGCCGGCCTGGCGGCGGCCTCTCTGGCGGAAGCGGCGGCGACGACGACGAAGAGGACAGCGACGACGACGACGACGACGACGACGACGAGGACGATGTCGAGGACGATAACGAGGACAGTGTCCACGATGGGAGGACGATGCAAGGACTCTGGATCGCATGCAGCAAAGCACAGGCCACCATGAACGGACCGCATGCAGCAAAGAAAGCGCCACCGTGGAGAAGGCATGCCGAAGCCCATCGCCACGAACAGGAACGCAATTTCGGATGACACTCTGAAGCACCCCTACTCCATAATGAATGACCCCCCCCCTGAAAATTACCCCTCCTGCTTCGGCTGCTTGTTATTCCGGCCCCCAATCCATGGGAGGCGCTGTAATATTCATGGGAGGCGCTGTAATATTCCGCCCCCCCCCTCTCTGAACATTGAGTTCCAGTTATGGTGGTGGACATGATTGGGCGGCGGTTGTGCGATGATGCCAGCGTTGGTGATCAGAACCTTGTCGACTGCGAAGTCGAAAAAAAATGTGATCAATATGGCGAACAGATGAGCGTGGATTTGTTGGTGTGGTACAGGCACTATCTATAATGTTAGCGATTGCGGTTGTGTTCCCAGCGGTACGAGGGCAACAACATCTAAATGAAGGCAACAATGGCGAGACAACGAACGGGGAGGAGTGGGAAGAAGTGCGGAGGAGGGCGGAGGAATGGGGAGCATCGGAGTTGTATGGAACGGGGTGGGAAAGACTGGGAGAGGTGCGACGGGGTGTAGGAAAGCGCACCGAACAGTTTGTCGCGCTTGGCACAAGCTAATCGTATATCAGAGTATTCGCGGTGATGGTGACGCGTTGGATGATAATTGCCCATGCCAAAATGGCAATACAAAGTGTGCCTTAATAATCTGGCCCCCCTCAGCTTAGGTCGCGCGAAACCGCCTGAATACACTGGCCCCGCCCACCCTTCGAAAGGCGCCTCAGTAACCAGCCCCAGGGGTCGTTTATTCAGGCAGCAGGCCAAGCGAAGAGAGAACTTTCACCAGTGTCGGTCGACTGCACGTAAGAGTGACCCTTCGCCGGAGCGACCTTTGGTGCGGGCCCCCTGGGAGCCCCCCCGATCGCCGAACGCGATGCGGTAGTAGCGTCTTGCGCGCTTGTGTTTGGTCCCCCCGCGGCCCCCAAAAAGCCGAGCACCAAAGTCGGGGGCGGCAAAGAGGGGGGTGATGACTCGGGGGGGGGGGGTATCACGGCGTGGGCTATGATATTTCCCCTGATTTCATGGCGCCGATCCTTGTTTCATTACGTCCTTGGCCCCCCCCTGGGCCTCGCACATGCCGCTGGCCATGATTTGCACCCCCCCTCTTGGACGTCCCCCTCTTGGCCGCCCCCGACAAAGGTCGCTCTTACCCAGGGTCACTCTTGCGTGTAGTCGAGTCGGGTGGCAGGCCTGCCCCCTTCAAGACACAAACGAAACGACACGAACGAAGGAGGGAGAGAGAAAGAGAGAGAGGGTACAGCCAACACTAACATTTACGGATGACCGGCTTCCCAAGGGTACCCGTGCATTCTTGCCTCTTCGATCCCCTTCGGTCCCTCCTCACTCTCTTTCGATGACCGCGCTCCGCTCGAAGAGTGTCGGCATGGCTTTTCAAGGCCCTTGCATCCTTATCGCGCATCCTTTGTCCAGAGATTAACGCCATTCCGCCGACCCCCAGAAGAGGCGGGGAGTCCAGGGTTGAGACGTCGTGGGCTTCTCGGGCACTGCCTGGGGACTCCCGTGGGCGTCTGGGATGCTGTTTGGGGGTCTGGCGGGGCCTCTGGGAGGCAGCTCTGGAAGCGCCGTTGGGCCCGCAGTGGGGCTCCTTCTGGGGCCTCTTGGGGGCCTCGGAGGAGGAGGAGGAGAGGAGGGGGGGAGGAGGAGGAGGAGGAGGAGGAGGAGGAGAGGAGGAGGAGGAGGAGGAGGAGGAGGGGCCTTGGGATCTTTATCGCGCCTCCTTGCTATCAGTCTTCACTGCGCACGGCGGGGCCGCGCGGCACGCCGCCCCAGCGGCGCCATCGGCAGGGCCCGAACCCGGCGTCGACCTCGCCGAGGAGCACGCCAGGAGGGGGGACACGCTGCTGCACCTTTGCCGGCGCCCCCAGCGGGCCCCTCCTCCTCCTCCTCCTCCTCCTCCTCCTCCTCCTCCTCCTCCTCCTCCTCCTCCCTCCTCCTCCTCCCCCTCCCCCTCCCCCTCCTCCTCTCCTCCTCCTCCGCCTCCTCGGAGGAAAAGCCACCCGGACCCGACGATTGACGTTTGCTAAAGGGCCCAGGGCTTTGAGTCCAGTCTGCTGCGGCCGCGGGGAAGGTCAGCTATGAGCCTCTCGGGTTATCTTGGGCGTCTCTGGGGCCGTACAGGGGGTTCGTGGGGGCCTCGCGGATCCGGTCGGAGCCCATCCAGGAGCCATCTAAAACCAAGCAGTGAGAAATGCCAGACATTTGTAAGAATATGTTGGTTGTCTCTCGAGTTTTGCCCTCCCTTGTCCTTCTCCGACCTCTCTCCTCCCTCTTTCCCTCCTCGTTCCCTCTTCTGCTGTGCCAGCCTGGTCACTCTGAATGGCCAGCGCGTTTCGACGCTTCACCCTGGAGACGGCAGTTGCAGCGCGTTTCGACGCTTCATCCTGGAGATCGCTTCGTCCTCTCCCGCCGTCGTCCCTCCCCCGTGCCCTCCCCAGGTATCTGGCGCTTCGGATTTTGTTCCAGACGTCGGCCCCCGGCCCCTCGAGCCCTCCCCCAGGGCAGGCGTTGTTTCCCCCCTGGGGCGCTTTTTGGTAATGCGGCCAGCGACTCTCGCTCAGCGTATCGCGCGCCACCGGTTCTGGCCCAACACGCCTTGGCGCGACACGCTTACCACGTCCCTGCCCCCGAGCGTCAGCGTCCCAAGCTTGTCCCAGCCTCTCGCCCCGCGGAGCAGAGGGACACGCTGGTTGGCTCGCAAGGTCGGGCGCCGCCGCGGAGACGCGCTGGGCAAAGGCCGCCGCTGAGGCACGCTCCTCCCCCCCGTCCTCCTCCAGACCTGGGCGCCTCATGCTGTCAAGCGTGCTCGCCGAGTGTCGGGGCCCGGCGCCCGCACCGAGCTGATGCCGGCCGAGGGATGCCGCAGAGAGGTGGGGCCAAGGGATCCAGTCGCGACCTGCCGCCGTGCTGCAATGATTTCGCGACGTGGGATCTCAGGGTCATTCTTCTCCTCTCCCGCCTCCTCCGGAGGAGAAGGAGAATGGAAGGTCAGCCATGGAGGAGCACATCTTTCTGTTGACGTGCTTGTCCCTCTACGGAATTCTGGAGGCCTCCAGGGGCTTCTTGAGACGTCCACCTCCAGAGAGTCCAGAGACCTCCAGGGGCTTTCTTGCTGTTGGGGGCGGCCAAGATTACCGGGACCATGGTATCTCCCAGATCTTACCTGGCCCAGTCCACCGAATCGGAGGGTGAAGAAAGGGGTCCACAGCAGGGGGTCTTCACTTGGTGCTGAATGGTTCATTTATGGCCTATGTATCGCCCATTCAAATTCTCCGATATGGCTGGTATCCACTACGCGTTGGGATTTCGAGGCAGGAATGCAGCGCTCGAGCGTTGTCCGTTGGCGGGAACGCATCGCCCATCCATCGCTGCCCGCCTGACAACGTCGTAACGTCGGGGGCCATCGCCCAGGGCGAATTGAAGTCACACGTTGAGGCTACCAAAGACGTGAATTCACATGCTACGTTTTTTCCGATAAGTGAATTAAAAGTTCGGCTTGTTGTTCAAGAAGAACGGGCTCCCATCTTTGAAATCACTGTTTGCGTTTGCCCAAACTCTTAATTCACATCTTGCGTGTCGCAGCGCATGCATCCCACTACGTTTGTGCCAGCGGCAATATTGGGGCGATGCGTAACCGCAAACGGACGTCGCTTGAGCGTCGCATTCTCGCCTCAATCTGCCCACGCGCAGTGGATGACAACCATGCCAGATCATTTGAATAGAAACCATTTGAATATCACCCAAACAAAGGTCACGCTTGCCCAGCGTCGCTCTTGCGTGTAGCCGTAAATCGCCCGCTTTGAAAAATGTTGCGCCAGGATCTCGAGGTTCCCCCCTCCCCCCTCGCCAAGCGTGCCCGCCCTCCCGCGGAGCCCCGCTCGCCGGCCCGAGGCCTGTATCTCACGGAGTTCCGGGGCCCCGCTGCGGAGGTGTTCTCCGCCATCTTCGCGTCGCCGGAGGCGGATCGGGTCCTCCTCCGAGCCTCCTCCTCCTCCTCCTCCTCCTCCTCCTCCTCCTCCTCCTTCCCCCCCCCTCCTCATTCTTCCTCCCCCTTCTCCTCTTCCTCCTCAGCTGCAAGCTCCTATCTGTGAGCGGCACCTCCCATGTCTACCTGCGCGGGGAGGCGGTGATGGCGACGAGGAGGAGGAGGAGAAGGAGGATCCGGAGGAACAGGAGGAGGAGGAGGAGAAAAAGAGGGAAGAGGAGTTGGAGGAGGGGAGGAGGAGGAGGAGGAGGAGGAGGAGGAGGAGGAGGAGGAGGAGGAGGAGGAGGAGGAGGAGGAGGGATGGTGATAGGGAGGAGGAGAAGGAGGGCCCAGGTGGCAAGTGCCCCAGCGCCCACCAGGAGGCGCAGAGGCCGACGGCCCTCCACGAGTGGCCGAGGCCAAGGGGCCCCCGCCCGCGAAGGCAGCGGCCGCAGGGGCAGACAGCGCTGCCAGTGGAGGGGCCGCGTCGTCGTCCTCCTCCTCCTCGTCCTGCTCCTCCTCCTCCTCCTCCTCCTCCTCCTCCTCCTCGTCCTGCTCCTCCTCCTCCTCTCACTGCGCCCCCTGGAGGCGCAGCCAGCAGCGGCAGCGGGGACCCCAACAGCAAGCAGCAGCGCAGCAGGCAGCCGGGGGAGGTGACGGACATGGGTTTCACCAAGAAGCAGGCCCAGTTCCTCAACGTGCTGAGCAGGCAGACGCTGATGACCACGCAGATGGTGCGGGACCTGTGGGCCGCGGGCGTGGACACCTTCCTGAACGCAGACCTGCCCGAGATTGAAGCGGCGCAGGAAGCAGGGGCGACAGATTCATCAGAAGTCCGAGCCCGCGGCAAAGGCCACCAGCTCGGTCCTCCCCACCTTCATATCTTCAATGGGTTCGTCAGCAAGTTGCTCGAGCGTGGGCTCGCGCTGGTGAAGAATGGCACGTGGAAGTATGGTTCCTCAACAGAGGATTCACGCGATGTTCAAAGAGTGGCACGTGAAAGTATGGTGCGAACAGCCGCAGGAGCTGTACGACATGCTACGGCAGTTTCGCATCACGAAGTGTTTCGGCCAGAACAAGAGGAATACGCACCTGATGCTGAGAGGCGTGCCCATGCCGAGCGTACCGCCCGAGTCCGGCGAGCAGATGCTGCCTTCGCCCTTGATCGTGAGAAGACTCCTGCAAAACACAATCGAGGCAATCCGGGGCCGAAGGGCACTGGGCGCGGCACCGCCAGGCGCCATGGAGGAGATACTACAGGGCGCGGTAGACGCAAAGGGCGGTAAATGAGAGGAAGCCTGCCCCGAAGGTCAGAACTGGGGGACCTCCCGCCCCGTGGAGCTGTGGCTCCACTAACTTGGGAGGCACGTCGCCGTTGTGCTGCCCACGCTGTGGGAAGAGGCTTGCGAGTTTTTTTGTTCAGAGGCTGGGGACGCTCTACTTAAATGTCCGCATCCCCCTGCCGCCGAGGACCTACATATCGATCGACGGGTACGCACGGTGAGCCTTCCAGAGTCGGCTGCCCGCCGCCTCTCACCCG